TCCTAACATTCGCCAACCACAAGAACCAGATGTCCATGCCTTATGTCATCTACGCCGACTTCGAAGCCTTGGTCAAACCCGTTGATGCTGGGGGTACCCCCAACACACAAAAAACACAGGAGCACGAGGCCTGTGGGTTTGGATACGTGGTCGTCCGATGTGATGGGGAAACGAAAGCTCCCGTAGTGTACAGGGGTCCCAACGCGACTGAAAAGTTTCTAAAGTGTTTGCAGGAGGAAGAGAAAAGTATTAGGAATGCACTATACACAGTCGCTCCCATGCGTATGACTCAAGCCGACCGGCTAGCTCATGCCTGCAGCACTCACTGCCATGTGTGTGATAGCCCACTGAACGGTGATTCGGTGAGAGATCACTGCCACGTCACCGGTAAGTATAGAGGCACCGCTCACAGCGTGTGTAACCTCAAGCTTAGAATCACCCCCAAGACAATAAACATCCCCGTGGTCTTCCACAACTTGAGAGGGTACGACTCCCACTTGATCATGCAGGCCATCGCGAAAGTCGACGGCAATCTGACGTGCATCCCCAACAACATGGAGAGATACATCTCCTTCAGCTTGAATGGCCTGAGGTTCATTGACTCGGTTCAGTTCCTCCTGTCATCACTGGACAGTCTGGTCTGATGTTATGAGCATCGCGCCGGATTTGAACAAATGCTATATCCTCAAGGTGGACTTGGAATACCCCAAGGCATTACACACATCACACAACAGCTACCCCCTGGCCCCCCGAACGTATGAGGGTTAACCCAGACTGGATGTCTGAGTACCAACCTAACTTGTTAGGTGGGCGGGTGGCAGACGTTGAAAACTAGTGCCCAACTTAATGAATATGACCAAGTACATCGTTCACTATCACAACCTACAGCTGTACCTGTCGTTGGGTATGAGGCTGACCAAAATACACAGGGTGCTCGTGTTCAACCAGAGCCCCTGGATGGAGCCATACATCAAAATGAACACAGACCTGCGAAAGCTGGCCACCAGTGACTTTGAGAAAAACCTCTACAAGCTCATGAACAACTCAGTGTTTGCGAAGACTATGGAGAACCTGAGGAAACCGTGACCGTGAAGCTGGTTCGGTCGAAAGAGGAAGACAAGCTCAGGAGACGGATAGCCAGCCCGGCATTCAACCGTAGCAAGATATTCAACGACGATCTGGTTGCCCTACACATGAAGAAAAGCCACATCAAATTCAACTGGCCTGTTTACGTGGGGATGAGCATCCTCGATTTATCCAAACACCTAATGTACGACTTTTACTACAACGAACTGAAGAAACAGTACAGTGACAGGTGTGAAGTGCTGTACACTGACACGGATTCCCTGCTGATGGAGATTCGAACCGAGGACGTGTACGAGGACATGAAGAAACGCCTCGATTTGTACGACACCAGCGACTACCCAAAGGGCCATGCCATACACAGCACAGTAAATAAAAAGGTCCTAGGTAAGATGAAGGACGAGTGTGCTGGCACGCCCATAGCTGAGTACATAGGCTTGAGACCCAAGATGTACTCCATCCTGAAGGCCGACAATGGTGAGATCCTAAAGGCGAAGGGTGTTAAGAAGTACGTGGTGAAACAACACATCAAACACGCCAGATTCAAGGAAGCCCTGTTCAAGACTCGTACCTTCAGGCATAAAATGAACACACTTAGAAGTGATGGGCATAGGATATATGGACTGACTATAAACAAGACGTCCCTGTCGCCGATGGACACTAAGCGTTGGATAGCTATTGATGGGATCAACACGTACGCGTACGGGCATGAGAAAATTGAACCAAGAACATAGGTGTATATAAATACCCTGTCGGGCAGTCACGAAACCAAAGAAAGTTTGAGGCTATTTACTACAGCCCGTGTGGGTACTGGAAAGGAGCTAGCGCCATACATAAGCTGGCTAAAATGGCGCGAGTACCGACGGAGGAGGCCAAAGCGTGGCTTGAAAAACAAGCCCTGTGGCAGATCTATTTACCGGCACCACGCTAGCGTTCACCAGGCCGACCTCCTGTTCCTACCCCACGATAAGAGGTACAAGTATGCCCTAACCGTAGTGGGCGTGGCCAGTCGCTACAAGGAACCCGAACCCTTGACCGCGAAAGACTCGGCCCAGCTAGCCCACGGATTCGAACGCATATACAAGCGCAGTCGGCTGACGTGGCCAACAGAGCTGCAAGTCGACCCCAGGCGGGAGTTCATGGGTGCCGTGTCACACCTGCTAGACAATCACGATACCAAGGTCAGGCGTGGCACGGCCGGGGCTCATCGCAGCCAAGCCATAGTTGAGAGATTCAATAGGACCTTGGCCGAGCTCTTATTCGGGCATCAGTATGCGAGAGAGATGGCCAACCCGGGGAAACGATCGACTGAATGCGTAGCGCAGCTCCCTCAGGTGGTGTCGGCCATCAACCATGAAACCACTCGGTTCACCGGCAAGAAACCAGCCGACGCTATCAAACTAAAATCAATAGTGGCTGAGTCGACTGCACCATTTCATAGGAAGGAGACACATATACCAGATAGGGCCCTCGTGAGGTACCTCTACCAGCCGGGGGAACACGAAGGGGATAGTCGTAAGCGAGCCACCGATCCGATATGGTCAGTCAAAACTTAAAATAGATAAAGTGGACATCAAAGCCGACGAGCCGAACTTGTACTACTTGAGAGATGGGCCAGGGAGAGGTTTCGTTAGAGAGGAATTATTTATCATACCGTACGGTACAATGTTACCCCCTGTCAACATGACATAGCGACACAATAGTGCCACGTGGGGCCGGGAAGTTAACCGGGGGTTCAAAAGTAGTAGATATACTGGGGCGAGATCTAAGGGCCTGACAAAAGCTTTATTTGTGAAATAGAGCTTTACAGAGGCTTTTGTTGGACTTGGTCTCGGACTATCATTATATCTACTACTAGTTTTCTGCGCAAACCCACAACGTAGTCATCAAACACACAAAGGCATCTGTATATAAAAGCAACAATATATCCATAAGGTCTTGACCTACAAAAGTATCCCCAACATTGGATTCATACAACATATTTTCGAGTTTTACCACAAATAATGAGAACAGCAAAGGGCTGAGTACACATCCTTGTTTCACACCACTCAACGTATCAAAATAATTGGATATTGACATATGAGTTATTTCAACAACAGATTTTACATTTTACATATCAAACAAAAAATATTTTACCATGAATGCCCCTTTTCAATAATTCCATAATAATGTTCAGTTATTAGAATCGAATGCTTTTATTGAATCAACAAACAAACAGTAAAAGTGATCATTGGTCTTTGTAATATACTGTTGTACTGAACATTGTAAAACAAAAATGTTATCCAAAGTGCTGTAACCAGCTCTAAATCCTGCTTTCGATTCAGGCAGCTGTTCGTACAAAGAACAAAACAGTAAAAACAATAAATGTAAACACTTTACTCATAATGTCAGTGTCTCGTTACGCATGCGTAAATCTTGACATTTCGCGGTGGTTGCAATTACTTGGTTACTTCATGTTTGCTCTGTCCAACATCGGTATGTATGTCACAATCATGCAGGTACATTTGGACCAATGTCCCACAATTACGTTTTTCACGTTTTGAAAAATGAACTATTCGTGCGAAGTTTTCGGATATCAGCGTTGTAATCGGGGCCATTGTGAGTTTTGGCGAATTCAACTGCTTGGATTCAACACCAGTACCGGCGTTTGTGTATTTTCTACAATTACTTTCAAAGTGATAACTTTCATTTGCCTGGTAATATATACTATTAGTTACACCTGCCTCAAGAAATACGTCATTTACAAGGGTCTTACAGTCCCGTACACCCTTTAAAAACACCGTGTGACGAATTTTTTACCCTTAAGATCTTTTTATTTAGCTGATCTTTAAACAACAACATGCAACCTTCCGCAGAATGAGACGCAAAACGTTTTTCCTGAACGCCCATAAAGGGAGATAACTTGGGATGCCTTAGTTTATGATAAAAAATAATCGAATTTGAGGTAAGGTGAGGTGAAATTGGGTTTTAAAGTCGTGCTTGAGAATATTTCGCTCATATGACGACGTGCATGCGTGTGTATGTGTAAGTGCGGCTGCTTGTACTAGCCCAGACTGAAGCTGGTTTTATAGTGCTAGCCCACTGAGATACCATGCCGCAGTGAAGCATGAATATGCCACTCAGACACAGTATACTGACTCCGAGCCGACCAGTCCTTGTTGTACCCATTAATGCCGAGCGGCAGGCAGGGACCAACAAGTACCATATTTTAACGTCTTTTGGTATGACGCGGTCGGGGATCGAACCCACGACCTTCCGCTCTCCGGGCGGACGCTCTAACCACTACACCACGGAGGCGGTCCTAATCGAATTTGAGGTTTTGTTAAAGGACAAGTGAAATAAACAAACATTTTATTTTTTGGATATGTTTATTGACACAAACAAATAGGAAACTATGACAACAATTTTATTACTCCGTTTATAGCCATAATTGTATACGCCAACTCTAAATTTCGAAGCGATCAGCCGTTTGGCAGCTACATTCCATCGAAAGTCAAGGTCATTCGTACAACCCGTGTAGTGTGTCACATGACAAATTTAATGGGTGTACGATCCGTACACCCTGGCAAATCCGCCTACATGGTTTGGTATGCTTTGGCTATTGACCAATTAGAATTCGACAAATTTATCTTAAGGGTAATTTATATATATCTCAGAACTCGTAATACCCAGCGGTGACTAACATATCTTCTTATATTTATCTAAGGGCTGTATATGTAATCAGTACAGAATTCCGTAATCTATTCCATATTAACCGTATGAAGTATAAAATCATGGTAATAAGAACACGATACAATATTGAAACAGAGAGCTGTTTACTGCTAAATAATATCTGCAGTGAGCGTCACTGTTATACAGTATAGCATCCCTCTCAAACTGTGTGTATGTGTGATGGAGCACAACACTGATTGACTTACCTTCCTGTCCATCTACAAGAGAGGAAACCGTGAGGACCACGAGGACGAACAGTGTACAGCCTCTCTCCATCACCGCAGCGACCACTGCACTGCACCGAATCACTGAAGAGGACGACCAGTCGGATGGGGATGTAGATTATTGTTACACTGTGAACCCTTCCGGGCCTCATCGTCCCACTTATACAGTCACCAGTTAAACGCAGTCACTTTATGTTAATATCCAAAGAAGACCGGAATATATAATCAATTAATATTTCTTATTATTCATTTTTTCAAGAGTGCCGCCTGTGAAACGTTGTAAATGAGCCAAAACTATTCTGTTGTGTGGGGCATTATTACGTTCATTTTGCATGTTCTTATATTCATCATTCTCCAATGCGAGTCTACAAGAGAGGTTCCGACACTGTATATGGATAGGACCCGGATTTATGTATTATAATTAATGGTTGATTCAAGACAGGAATGTGCATATAAAAAGGTTGTTCTTTCTGCACATTTAGAACAACGTCAAAAGTTAGGTTATCAGGGTAACGGGATTTAAGCCCACTGAAATGACTTTTGTTTTGGTTTTTTTTAATTGTGAGTTGATGACATTTCTGAATTTGACCGATATAACAGACTAAACTTATAACAGCTGAACATCTACCATTACCACTAGTTAATAGTGCCAAGTAAAAACATGCAAGTTAATGATACAATAAACTCTTCTTTTGACCGAAATTTCTTATGAGTATGGAAATGTAATGGTTTACCGCTGTGTTTATTTTTGTGTGAATGCTAAAGAAATGAGACTTGCATTCCCTGAGTGAGTGAATGAGTTTACTTTCACGCCGCTTTTAGCGATATTCCAGCAACATCGCGGCGGGGGACACCGGGAATGGTCTTCATACATTGGGCCCATGTAGGGAATCGAACCCGGATGTTCAGGGTGACGAGCGAACGCCTTAACCACTTGGCTACCCCACCGCCCCGCATTCACTGAGTCAGCGTCCAGAAGACTGGTAACCGTCATAATACCAGCAGTTGTTCAGTCAACAGGTTTTTATCGCTGATACCACCATCGTTAACTTTTCAATTTGGACTTGTTCGCGCTGTAGATGACGAGATGAGGAAGAAAATGGACCCCAGGTTCATGTGATACTTGTGTAACCTATCACACGGAACGGATTAATTACATGCAGATATGGATCATGACACTCGGGTCACGTCGGCAGTGTCCGCTTGTCTGTAGCTTCCTGTTTCTGTAATTCTGTGGGACGTCCAAACACGACGTTTAATCAACAGTCAGATTTGTATAGCATCACTGTAGGACCTAACATAATTACTTTGCATGACACAAAGTTCCTGGGAAATCACATCCATTGTTGTCTATGAGGCTAATCCAGCTATAGTAGACGGTGGAAGATTTGTTAAACGGTATTATTTATTTTGGGTTGGTGACCGCAATTGTTTGTGTAAATGGTGCAAAGTGTCGATTACCAAACTAACGGAAACGAGATAACCATGGATATGTTTTTGTAATTATTCGGTGCAAAACCAACAAACAAGTGCTATGCTTTTAGCAGGTGTATTTGTGAGTATGCGTGCGTGCGTGCGTGCGCGCGTACGTGTTTTTGTGTGTGCCGACACGTGATATGTTATGATTCCTGACATTTTTAATTAGTGGGTGACTTTAGTGTTTTAGCTATATTCCAGCAACATAACGGCGGGGACACCAGAAATGGGCTTCACACAGTTTGAACCCGGGTCTTTAGTGTGACGAGCGAACGCTTTCACCACTTGGCTACCACACTGGCCCTGACATATATCATCACAGTTATTTACTTAGATAACTTTGGCGTTGGTCACGATTTGCATAAATGCACCATTGGTATACGTTAATGCCTCCATTGACATCAAACTATGGAACAGATCGGGAATATAGACAGTCGTCAAGGATAGAATTACGGTCGTTAAGGAGGAAAACTCATAATCATCAACTCCATGTTACAGATTCAGTTCCTCCTACGTCAATGTGCTATCGGATATAGCCTGTGTGCTATACACAGAATAAACAACCTCATAGAAGACATGTACACCTATTGCTTCAGCATACAGTCCTCCACTACCCAGGGACAGGCAAATGGAAACTTATATACATTTACTGTTTAGGATAACACACGTTATAATGTGTCCAGAGTGCTGGTGAGACGCTGCACTCGATCCACGCCATTGGGATATAATGACATGTGTCAGCCAAGTCAGCGGTGATGATTTTATTACATAGTGCGTTGTTATTACATAGTGGGTTGCTACAAGCCTGGCCATCCGATCCCGTTAGTCGCCTCTGACGACAAGCATTGGTTGCCTAAGATTAATTCTAGACCCGGCTCTTCACGGGTTATCCAAGTTAAGTTTCTGAATACACAGATGCGTTACTTTGTGGGAAATAGTTGAAATTCACTGTGCAGTGACGCAGCTAACAAAAGGTTCGTATGTTATGATACATGAACACTTGAAATTCATTCAAGCGGCGTATTTTTACAAAAACAGTCCAAGTTGCCCAAATAAGTTCGAGGAGATTATCAGCCACCCCAACAAATCAACCTACCGGGTACCCATTAACTGCTGGAGGAACAAATGCATATCTCAAACTAATGCATTTGTCTAACGAAACGAACGCGTGTATCATGTGTGTTTACACTAAATCTCAGGAATCAAGCTTGTCGAACTCGGAAACCCATTTACCTACCCTCTGCGATCAACCTTCTTGAAGTTGAAGTATTGACAATTAGCCAAAATAACAAGCTTGTACTTAGCTTGTAATTCAAATTCATCATTTTTACATGATGTAAAAACTAAATGGATAAAGTCACTGTACATTACACAATTATAAACTCTGTTTTGGTAACACATATTGCCACAGTTACAATCCACAAGTTAGATCCCCCTGGTATATTTTGCATGTCCGCATTACAATGGCTACAATAGATGCAAAATGTTTGACTTAAGAACAAAAAAGATCTGAAACCATTTCTCTAGTCATGTTATGTTCACAACTGCGGCCAGTTTGAGTGCTATGTATCATAGTGGAGTTCAGCAAACTAGTCCCTGCCAGTGTTATTCTAACCTAACTGGTAACGTACACGTTGCTTCCGTTACACCAAGGTCATATCCGGATGTGTCGCCAAGCGACGCTTTGTTTGTTTTACGCCGCACTCTGCAATATTCCAGCTATTTGGCGGCGGTCTGAAAATAATCGAGTCTGGAACTGACAATCCAGCGGTCAACGGCATGAGCATCGATCTACGCAATTGGGATACGATGACATGCATCAACCAAGTCAGTTGACATAATGTTGACAAATTGCATGACACAAGGTGTATGTCAGAACGTTAAAAATCCGTTCACTGTAATTCTGTAAATCCACGTACATAACTGAGAGCAACGTTTCGATAGATATGTCGGCAGCAGAGTAAAATCTACAAGAAGAGGTAAGCAGTTCCAAGAATCACACACATGATTGGAGGAAGCAACATATACCGGCAATGAAGCCGGATGTTACAGTAAGAATACAAAGTAAACGTTATCTGCAAATTGTCATAACATATGGCCATCTCTGTATTTATATGTATCTGTGTAACAGAAGCGTAATGCATCAAGATCTAGTGAATCTATATAAGCATCCAGCAGAACAGGGGCCGTGGCTTAGCCTAGTGGTTAACGCGTTCGCTCGTCACGCCGAAAACCCGGGTTCGATTCCCCACATGTGTGAAGCCCACATCTGGTGTTCCCCGCCGTGATATTGCTGGAATATTACTAAAAGCGGCGCAAAACCATATTCACTCACTCATTCCAGTAGAACATCCTGGTTCGCTTAGAACAGGAAAATAAAATCGTTTGCTCTCAGTCGCCTTTACTCTCGGATTGTTGTACATGTATTAACATATATGATATATACACCAGTAAAGATTGTACAGGCATATATATATGGATGGATGTATGAGGTTATGGTTGAGCGTTCACACCCTGGTGCAGGTAGTCCCTCATAGTATTATAGTGGAGACTGACACATTCTGATGAGGAAATATATTGGGAGTAAAAAAGCCGTGGTAAATAGCTTAGTTCTGGGGTATCGTATCAGTATGCCGCAACGCGAGTCTTGATGATGAAGGAATGTATTTCAATAAACAGAAATAAAACATCGTGTTGAAGTTCATGTTAATGTAATAAATAGGAGATATATAGGGAGAAGGGGCACTTTTGTTATGGAGGAAACAGACAGCTCGATATGCCGTGTCACAGATCAAACTAGCACTGATGAACTGGCAGCTTATACAATATGACCCATGAGAGCAATAATGAGCAATCAAACTTTCATCGTGTGTAATCGGGAGGTATGAGATATTGAGAAATTCATAACAGTTCCAGCTGAACTTCCTTTTAAACCTTCACTGTCCAAATTGTAGGATTTAATCTGTGTTTCCTCATTATTTGTATGATTGACGTCCAGACGTTGAATATCTTAGAAAGGTAATTATTACTTGATTCAGTAAACACATGAAACAATCAAGTTCTATTGTGTTCTGTATTGATAGATCCACAAGTGAAGGACATGCTTTTTAGTTGTATGTTTAAGATTAACATCATTCAAACGATGTATCAACAATTGCATTAGTTAACCCATTGCGGCATTGTCCCAAAATACATCGTGTAAAAAACTACGATTAGTATCATGGAGACAATATGTATCCTCCGTAGAACGGTCGCCAGTACAGAAAATTCAAATGTTTATTCTGTTCTTCTTGAATGGTTTATGCACAGAGCTTCTGTAAAATGTCAAATGTCACATGATTTCATAAATTTATCATTCGTGAAGATCCGGGTTATAATGCTTCTTCAGACACCCATGCTTGTCTTAAGCGACTATAATGTCAAGTGTTCTCGTCACGATATGGCTGAAATATTGCCGATGTGACGTTAAATAATAACTCACTCACTCACTCACTCACTTAAGCGACTAACGAAATTGGGTGGCTTGGTTGACACATGTCATCGTATTCCAGTTGCGTAGATGCTTATGATGTTGGTCACTGGATTGTTTGGTCCAGATTCGATTACTTACAGACGTA